GGCTAATTTCTTTCTATTTTTAGTAGAGACGGGGTCTCGCTCTTGCTCAGGCTGGTCTCGAACTCCTGAGCTCAAACGATCAGCCCACCTCGGCCTCCCAGAGTGCTAGGATTACAGGTGTGAGCCACTGAGTCTGGCCGAAAGGGACGTTTTAAGGGCTGCTAAAATGAAAACTTTAAAAAAATAATTCTAATGGAAAGTCTTTTTTTTTTTAAGCACACACTCACACCTTCTTAAACATGCAAATTAGATATATAAAACATAATTTGATCTTTAAAAAATACATCTAAGGGTCACCTTGTTTCCCCTATTAAACTATTACTAAAGCTGGGACAGGGGCATTGCTGAGAGGTAAATGAGGTAACCCCTGGTGCCTTCTATAAAGTTGTTAAACCCATCTTTGTCCATTTTCCACCTCTTTTCTCCTGTCTTGTCCTGCTCACAACACCTCAGACACATGGCTTAATTTAAAATATTGTTGACTAATACCCTATAACTGTAGGCTCCTCCTCTATAAAACCTTTATCATAATTTAAATAGCAAAAATAATGTGTTACTACTATTTCTACTTCACTTGCTCTCCAGTGAGCATGCAAACAGTAAAAATAAGAAGGGAAATTGCTATAATGAAGGCAGCCTCATCAAGCCAGGAAGAACAGGGCTAATACCAAAGATCTATACATTCAACCTATAAATCAAGTAGGGCTTGTTTATATAAGTGATGCTACGAGCTAATTTTCTCCTTTTTCAACTAACTTTATTAAAATATAATTTACATGACAAACGTATACATCTGTCCATCCCAATCAAGATCAAGATGTAGAACTTTTCTGTCACCCCAAAAAGTATGCTAGTGCCTCTCTTCAGTCCATTCCCTCCTGCCCACACCTTCCAGGCAATCATTGATCTGCTTTCTGTTATATATAGTATTAGTTTTGCTTGTTCTAGAAATTCATATTGATGGAATCATACATTAATATGGTGGCTTCTTTTGCTCAGCATGTTTCTGAGGTTTATCCATGTTGTTATGTGTATCAGTAGTTTCTTCCTGTTTATTTCATTGTACAGATATATCACAATTTATTCATTCGCCAATGGATGGCTACCTAGGTTGTTTCTGTTTTTGACTATTATGAATAAAGCTGCCATAAACATTATGTGGTCATATGGTGATGTATGTTTAACTTTAAAAGAAACTGCTCAATAGTTTTCCAGAGTAGATGTACACTGTTACTAGCAATGTACTAGAGTTCTAATTATTTCATATCCCTGCCAACATTTGGTATTCACAGCCTTTTTGGTTTTATCCATTCTAGGGGGTTCAAAATGGCTCGTTGAGGTTTTAATGTGTATTTTCCTGACGATGTTTAACATTTGAGTTAAATTTTGATTATATATACATATTTTCCAGTTGCAACAGAATATAGTAATTTCTAGGGAATATCTTTATTATGGCATTTGTTATATTATTTTACAGAGAAATACTATAAAATTCTAACCGTGTATCCCACAGAAAAAGATTAGTTTATGAAACTAAGTACAACTTCCAGGTAAAACATCACTATGGTACAGTACTTGGTACATTGAGAGTTTACCAAAATAAACTCCCAGCTACTGTATGGAGCTATAATGTTGCCACCTCTACTGCCACCATCTGGTAACATTAAAACCAAATAACAAAGATAACACAGAAAACTATTAATGTATTGTACTGGGTCAGCAAAAGTCAAATTTCCAATTCAACTCTCATGCACTCATCTTTGAAAGTATAGAGTACATGCAAACTAATTTGTTATTTAATTTGCATTACTTTTAAAGAAGTTACATTACAAAAATATCAAATAAAATATTTTAAATTCCCCAAATTCAGGGAAGATGTTTTGTGAAGTACTTCCTTTTCTATTTGTTGCAATACCTTTGGCAAATTACCTTAGGGCTCTATAGATATCCTATCCTAAGGATAACCGAACTGTTTCCTAACTAAAACTGTGGACTGCTAGACGGGGTAAAAATGAAATGTCTGCAATGTTTTAGTCTCTTACTGGACAATGTCACGATGTTCGCTGGGTTATTATGCAATAATTGCCCTCCGCATACTCACAGATGTTAATCCCAGTCTTTTTTTGTCTCCCCTCCCCGCCCAAGGAGCGACCGGATCACATGCTGACGGATATGCAGTTGCGGAAACCTGGCGGTGACAGGGAAGAAGAGCTACCAGCTCCGCCTGGCCCTTTGCCTATTCATTTGCAGATTTCTCCCCCAATTCGCTCTTACACTGGGGTTCTCCGCCCCGCCCTTTGCCCATTGATTTGAAGGTTCTCTCGCAGTTCCCTCTTTCGCGGGGTCCCCAGCTCAGCACTACAGAAAATAACCAGGAGCCCGGCCCCGCGGGGCTGCACCTGCCGAGGCCCCGCCCGAGTCCCCCGCCCGGCCCCGGGATCCCGGTGGGCTTCTGAGCTCCGAGGCGGGCAGAGGCTGAGTGGGGCTCTGAATGGGCTCCCCCTCCTCGAGTCCCCTTTTGGCCCCGGCCCCACCAGCTCAGGGTGCGGGTAGCCTGGCCACGCTTGCCCCCGGACCGGCGACCGACCGAAGCCCCTTGACGGCCCGGCCTCTTACCGGCTTCGGCCCGCGGGGCGCCCCGCAGAAGGGGCGTGCTGTCTGTGCCCTCCTCGCCATCGTTCACGGCCGGGCCCCGAACCGGGGACCTCATGACGCCCACGGGGAGCAGGCGTGCTCGTTATCCGGCCAAGAGGAGCGCCCGAGCCCCACAGCCGTAGCCCCTGTGCGGAGCTGGAGGGGCCGGGCGGGCGAGCGCGCTGGCACCGCCCCCGGACTGGCACCGCCCCGGCCACGTCGTGTAGCCGAGGCCCCGCCCCCGCCGCCATCTTAGGTGCGGGCAGCTGTGGCGGGGTCGGGCGGGGCGCGGCGCAGTTCCGGGAGTCCTGGCCTGGCGCGGAGGGGCGGCGGAGTTAGCCCTGCCTGCCGCTCTGCGCCGGCCTGTCGCGCGGTTCTCAGGACTCCGCCTCCTAGTGACGCGTAAGGGCCGCCCCTCCGGGAGCGAGAATGAGCTGCAACCTTGGGGCGAGTGGTGGGGACTTGATCGTGCCTAACTAAGGGGTCGAACTGGGGAGGTGGAGGTGTGACAACGTCCGGTTGTCAGCAGTAAATTGCCATGAGTGTTAGCAACCTGTGTACTTCTACCCCGTGACGGCACCGTGTCCCTACAAGAGCTTTTGAGGTGGAAAAACAGTAAAGAGGAATATATTTATGTTGTGTCCTAGGTAATTGTCGATTTTATAGGTGAAAATAATCCAGTATAGGCAGTTTCATATGGTTCAAGCTATAGAACCCTCTGATGTGCATGAGCGTGTTGTATCTCTACAGGTTTAACTCCGACAGACTGTGCTAACATTTGCTGACTCTGAGAAAGCGTAACTAGGAAAACCTAAGAAACTGGGAAACCGGCCTTGGCAGGGCAGAGCTGGAGCCGCTGTCAGGACCGTGGGCAGTTCGGCAGCTGTCATGGGTAATATAGGCCATCTCTGGGGAGATAGAAAGTAAGATGTGGAGGGTGCTCTCGGGGAGTTCGGGTTGACAGGGAAAACTCACAAGCCGATAATTCAGTAAACCAGGTAAGAGGCTCGGCGAGGTCCACGCAGGAACAAAGGGGAGGGTCCTTTGCCCAGCAAGGGGAATGAATGAAGGCATCCCCGACCTCCAGATCAGTAAATACTGGGAAAGTTTTCAAGTTAAAACAACAAATCAAGCCTTGTTTCTGAGTTACTGAAATTACTATGCAGATTTTAAACTCTCAGAGGGTTGTGGAAAAATGCCTCCCAAACTTGGTTGTGCGCATAATCACCTGGCGAATCTTTTAAAATGTAGATTCAGATTCAGCAGGTCTGGTGTGATGGTTAATTTCGTGTATGTACGCGGAGGGTGTTTTTGGATGAGGTTAACACTGAAATCAGTGAGCTTTGAGTAACGCTGGTTTTCCTCCATAGTGTGCGTTGGCCTCATTCAATCAAAAGAACAAAAGATTAGCCCCCGCCCCCTCCCCAAGCAAGGGCGAATTCTCCAGCAGAGTGTCTTCAGACTTCATCTGCACACGGGACCTCCTGAGTCTCCAGGCTTGTGCGCTATGGGGTCTTTGGGGTCTGAAGTCCGCTGGTCTATATTGTGTGAGCCAAAACCTTATAATCTCTCTCCTGTCTCCCCTCTTCCTTGCTCTCCTCCCCCCCCCACACACTATCTCTTTCTATCTTTTATCTCCTATTGGTTCTGTTTCTCTGAGAAGCCTAATACATTTCGGATAGGCCTGAGATTCTGTATTGCTAACAAGCACCCAGACGACCAAGGTTATAGAAGTTATAGAGGAACAACAAGGTTATAGGGGTTTCCACGAAAAAGAAACCAAACTCTGTAAAATGATTTATTTGTTTATTTTATTTTTATTTTTTTGAGACAGAGTCTTGCCCTGTTGCCCAGGCTAGAGTGCCGTGGGGTCAGCCTAGCTCATATCAACCTCAAACTCCTGGGCTCAAGCAATCCTCCTGCCTCAGCACCCCTCTAGAAGCTGGGACTACAGGCGTGTGTCACCATGCCTGGCTAATTTTTTCTATTTTTAGTTGCCTGGCTAATTTTTTTTTTTAGTAAAGACGAGGTCTCGTTCTTGCTCAGGCTGGTCTTGGACTCCTGAGTTCAAGCGATCCTCCTGCCTTGGCCTCCCAGAGTGCTAGGATTACAGGCATGGGCCACCAGGCTGGCATCTGTAAAATAATTTAAAGAGGTTTATTCTGAGCCAAATTTGAGGACCTTGGCCTGGAGCCACGCCCAAGAAGCCTTGAGGAAGTGAACTCGCTGTGGTTGGGTTACAGTTTGGTTTTATACATTTCAGGGCGACAGGAATTACACGTAAAGGCGTAAATCAATACATGGAAGGCATACATTGGTTTGGCCTGAAAAGGTGGGACATCTGAAAGTGGGGTCTTACAGGTTATAGGAGGGTTTAAAGACTCTTTGATTTCTAATTGGTTAAAGAAATGAAGCTTTGTCTAAAGGCTTGGAATGTTTTAAGTTAATACATTGCCACACTAGAAAAAATTTTTTTCCTTGTGGCCATGGTGTTTTATTACAAAAATAGAATAAAAACTTCAAAAACAAAAGTATCCTTTCTAATAAAATGAAAAATTTGTTATTTTTTATTATTTTCTATGCATGAGTTATATGTAACTTGAAAAATTTTTTTCCTTGTGGCCATGGTGTTTTATTACAAAAATAGAATAAAAACTTCAAAAACAAAAGTATCCTTTCTAATAAAATGAAAAATATGTTATTTTTTATTATTTTCTATGCATGAGTTATATGTAACTTGAAAAATAGTTCTCTGGGCTCCCAAGGTGTGGAGATGTGTAAGTAACATATGCTGCATGAGGCCCCCGGCTCATGGCAGTTAATGTGTTAAGATAAAAGTCTGTTCATCAGCAACAAGGCTCTGGACATATACCCCAACTCAAGTGATTTATTATGCCCATTGAGGACCTGAAGGTTTGTCTTGCATAACCTTACACCTGTTAATGAGTTACAAAGGATAACTACAAGAAGGGAGGGGGGCTTGATGAGGCATGTCTGACCTTCCTTCTCATGGCTAGCAACTCAGTTTTAGGGTATCTCCTTGGCCAAAGAGGGGGTCCATTCAGTCGGCCGATGGTGGGGGGAGCCTTAAGATTTTATTTTAGTTCACAGAGGACTTGGGCCAGGAAATAAAGATTCCAACAGACTTTAAAAATTTAAAACCAGAGGACTTTTTTTTAAATGCAGTTTTTGTTTGAGAAGTTTTAGGTTTACAGAAAAGTTGGAAAGACAGTACAGCAAATTCTTTGTACCCTTTGCCTAGTTTGACCTGTTAAGATCATACATTATTATGATATCTTTGGCACAACTAATGAGCCAATATGGGTAGATTATTATTAACTGAAGTTCATACTTAATTTGGATTTATTTAGTTTTTACCTAATATTCTCTTTCTGTCTCAGGATCCATCCATGATGCCACATTACATTTCATCACGATAGGTCAGACTTTCCTTGTGTTTTGCTGACTTTGACAGTTTTACAGAGTACGGTTGGTTTTATAGAAAATCTCTCAATTAGGGTTTGTCTGGTGTTTTTCTTGTAATTAGACTAGGGTTATGGATTTTTAGGGGAAGATCAACAGGGTAAAATGCCATTCTTCTGGTATAATTTGAAGGGAATGTGCTGTCAACATACCTTATGACCGATCATTATCACTGGTGATGATAAGCTTCATCACATCACATGCCTGAGGTAATGTTTGTCAGGTTTTTTTCCCCTGTAAAGTTATGCTATTTTTCGCCCTCTCCATACTTTTCTCTTTGGAAGGAAGTTAGTATGTACAGTCTTTGCTTAAGGGATGGGGAATTATGTATACTTCACCAGTTTGAGGGACAGAATTCTTTTGTATGGGAGATTTGTCCATTTTCCCCCATTTATTTACTCAATTATTTATTTATTTATTATTATGTTGGGTTATAATCCAACACTATGTTATTTATTTTGTTGCTCAAATTATTCCAGACTTGGTGACTGGGAGCTCTGTCAGTTGGCTCCTGTGTCTCCTTACATGTCCCTGTTGTGTTTTTTGAGCATTACCTTACTTTCTGGTGCAATAAGATGTTTCAGGCTCATTTTGTATTTTCTCTGTCCCTTCCATTTCTCCAAGGAGAATGATATTAGAAAACAAGACCTGGGCACTGGGTGTACTTCCTACTAGTGTGTCATTGATTCTAGGCCTAGAGGGGGAACTTCTGTTTTTGTTTTGTAATCTTCCCAAGAGGATTTTTATTTTTATTTTTTTTGGAGACAGAGTCTCGTTCTTGTTGCCCAGGTTAGAGTGCTGTGGCGTCAGCCTAGCTCACTGCAACCTCAAACTCCTGGGCTCAAGTGATCCTTCTGCCTCAGTCTCCCCAGTAGCTGGGACTACAGGCATGAACCACCATGCCTAGCTAATTTTTTCTATATATTTTTAGCTGTCCAGCTAATTTCTTTCTATTTTTAGTAGAGACAGGGTCTCGCTCTTGCTCAGGCTGGTCTCGAACTCCTGAGCTCAAACGATCCACCTGCCTCGGCCTCCCAGAGTGCTAGGATTACAGGCGTGAGCCACCGCGCCCGGCCTTGATTATTTTTTAGTTGCTAATTCTTTCCTTCACCAATACTCTAGACCAGCACTGTTCAGTAGAAATATAATGCAAAGTAACAGGTGAAATTAATTTGACTTAAAAAAATTTTTGAAATTAATTTTATAATATATGTTATTTAACCCAATGTATCAATTCAACATGTAATCAATATAAAATTATTAATGAGATATACTTTTTTCTGGTACTATTAATAAAACTTTGAAACCCGCAACATGTATTTTGTACTTACAGCACATCTCCATTAGGACTGGCCATATTTCAAGTGCTCAATAGCCAATAACCATATGGGGTAGCATAGTATGGGAAGGCTGACCCCCCGCTACTTCCCCAGTCCTGCTTTGGATGGGAAAGGAGCATCTTTTGGGCAGAGTGCCTAATTCAAAAGCCTCTAGCTGTTTTCCTTTTTTGTAAAATGAAAATAATAATAGAAACAACCTCATAGGAGTGTTGTAAGGATTAAATAATCCAACAAGATAATGAATGTAAATCACAGTACAGTACCTGGTGGGTAGTAAGTCTCGATATGTGTTTGTGTTAGCTATTAGCATTTTTGGGGGCTTAAATTTGCTTTGCAAAATGAGTTTGCCCATCTTAGGAGCTCCCATTTGAT